AGCCACCCTTCTTCAATGAAGCAAATTATGTACATTGGAAGAATAAGATGATGTACTTCATTCAATCATACAATCTAGGAGCTTGGTACTCAATCATGGACAACTACTCCTCTCCACCCGGCAAGTACAACGATTGGAGTAGAGAAGAGTAGAAAAATTTTCAGCTTAATTCTAAGGCTATACATATTCTATTTTATTCTTTAGGCCCAAATGAATATGGAAGAGTCTCATCTTGTTCCAGTGCCAAAGAGATTTGGGATAAGCTCCAATTCACTCATGAAGGAACCGACGAAAGTGAGGGAATCAAAGAAAAGTCTTCTCAACCATAGCTACGAGAACTTCAAGATGAAACCCGATAAAGACATCAAAGCTATGACGAATAGATTTTTCATGATTGTCAACGGTCTCAAGGGATATGGAGAAGTAATCCCAAATGAGAAGCTTGTGAGGAATATGATTTACTCTCTTCCAAAGGAGTGGCAATCAACGAAGACGGTCATTATCGAAGCAAGAAACCTAAAGTCTCTCACTCTCGACGAGCTAATTGGTTCCCTTCTCACTCATGAGATAATGGTGAAGGAAGATGAAGAAAGGGAACAGAAGAAAAACAAGAAGAAGAAGAAGAATTAGGACGTAGGCATCAATGAAAGTTATTAAGATTCAAGTGATGAGGTGGATGAAGACGATGATGAACAAAAAAAAAGAGATGGTCAAGCCCTTGAAGGAACTCAAGAGATTCATGATTTCCAAGGAAGTGAAACATGAATCAACCAAGAAGAAAAGTCCCCCGGTATGTTTCGATTGTCAAAGAAAGGGGCATGTCATGTATGAATGTCCTCTTCTAAAGAAAAAGGGGTAGAAGGCATTTGTTGCATCTTGGAGTGAAGAAGATGATTCCAATGATGAAGATGAAGTAGTCAACCTATGCCTCATGACCACTCAAGAAGAATTCGAGGTATCTTCTAACTCAAATGAATTTAATTTATTTACTTTTGATGAGTTACAAGATGCTTATAATAGGTTGTATTTGGGATTTGAGACCATGAATTCCAAATATACAAAATTAATTTCAAAACTCAAAAATAAAGATAATTTGATTTTGAAAGCAAAAGTTGATTTTGAAAAATCAAAATGAAATTTTGAAAAATAATTTAGAGCTTTCAAAAATCAAAATAAATGATTTAGAAAAAGAAAATTTTGAGTTAGGTGTTAAGTTTGAAAGCTTAATAAAAGAAAAAAGAATTAATTTCTAAAAACAACCTATTATATTTAAATATGGCAAAATGCTCACATTGTCATTATCATGGTCATATGGAACATACTTGTCCTTTGAAGAAAGGAAAACATTTTAAAATTAGGCAAGTATGGGTTCCAAAAGGAACAAGGGGCATTGTAACTAACGTTCAAGGATCCAAATCAATTTGGATACCAAAATCTACTTAAATGTCTCTTGTAGGTGTGTGGAAGCAATTGCGATGAAAATGATGATATTCAAGATGCTCTAGCCACACATGAAAAAGTATTGGGTAACCTCTAAGCTTAATACTTTTAATTTTGGATTATTTGGTTGCTCATTTGATTTTAAGCATGCATGAGTTTTGGTTTTAAATGATTATGCATCATTGTTTTAATCTCATGTATGTTGAAAAGATGATTATGATGAACATTTTAAAGTTGTAATGATTTTTTAGAATTTTTAGTTCATCATAATAAAATTTTGGTCAAAATTTGTTTTAATGCAAATGATATCTCTCTAACAATTGATATCAACTTTTCAAATACTTTGATTTTATAAATCTTTAAAAATTTGACCTAAATTTGAATGTTTATGCATGTGGTTTAAATAAAAATGATATCTCTCTAATAATTGATATCAAAAATTTTCAAATGCATAACATTTTTAGAAAACTTTATGCATATGATCTTAAATTCAACAATTGGTATTGCATAAAGTATTTTAGTCTTGGAAATATTGAATTTCATATTCTACTAACATGTTTGTTATTCTTTGTTGAAATTCAATTTTTGTTTAAGTGTCAAGATCCTAAAAGTAAAATTCTATTTGGAATGCATTTATTGAGGGGGAGCTTTGATTTTTTCAAATGATTTTTAAAATGTCAAATTTAGTACTTACTCTCCAAAGTTATTTGGAACTTCAAAGATTAGAGTTTCTTTGATTTAACAAAAAGGGGGAGAAGTGTTAAGGTGTTAAATGGGAGAAATGTTAAGGTGTTAAAGGGGAGACAAATGGGTCAACACGCGAGTTGTGAATGGGTTAGTGGGTCGACTATTTAAGTTAAAATATTTTAAACAAATCTCATTTCTCCTCTTAAAATCAAAACTCCTTCCCCATTAACATGTTTTCCTCTCTCCCATTCAACCGTGTTCTTCATGAAGAACACGGCCACCACGGAATCCAAAAAACGTCCAATGGCCACCCCACGCTGCCTCGCCGGCACCGATCAGTCATCGGCGGCAAAAATTGTTATTTTTATTTCTTTCAAAATCTCGAAAGCTCTTTCAAAATGGTTTCCAAAAATCAAAATGATTTTTATAAAAACCGCGCCTCGGGGGCTACATCTACGAGAGAAGATCTCGACCGAGCCCCCTCTATTCATCGGCGCAAAGAACCTTTTCCTTTTTTCGAATAAAAAACAACGTCACAAAGCCAAGCGGAGTCACATGCAAGCCAAGAAGGCACCAAATCGAAGGTAAAGAAAAGAAAAGAAAGAAAAAAAATACCTTTATTTGCTACTAAACTTGTTACAAAATGCATAGGATACTCTTGTGTTTGCTTGTATTTTCGCGGCATTTCCTTGTGTTTTTCATTGTTCGATTACATCGAATATTTATAGCCTAAGATTTAAGTGTTTGAGTTCTATTAAAACTCTAACTTCGTTATTTGTAGGTGGTGTCTTGCGAGATCCTTGCGTCGGAGGAATCGAAGTTGGTGGCGTGGGAGAAGCGTGCGGTCGTGGGAAGTTGAAGGGGAGAACGACGCTAGAGTGAAGCATACTGCTAGGGTTTTTGGAAACCCTAGCCCGCGTACATGTTTCTGCTAGGCTCTTTGGTCTACGCATCTGGATCATGTTGGAGTTGGACCAATGTTGGGCCACATGTTTCATTTGCTGGGTCACTTGTAATATTTGGACCGATAGAAAAAACAAAATGTAAATAAATATATGTATTATAATTTATAATATCATAATTTATAATTTCTACGGTTAAAATTAAGTGTCTTCAATTAAAATAAAACAATAATTTAATTTAATTATTAAAATAAATCAAAACTGATAATTTAATATAATTTACCCTTAAAAACAATAATATGATTAAAAAAATCACCAAAAACGTCAGGTGGGTCATTTTTGAACCGACCTAAAAGGGCCAAAAATCCAAGCGTGAGAAGGAAATGAAAGCGGTGGAACCAACAAAGCCACCATCGTAACCTAACCATAGTTAAGACCCTTTCTTTTTCTCTCCACTAACGCGTTAAAAGACGGGAAAACAAGGCACTTGGCAGCCACGTGTTGGAACCAGAGAGCGCCAAGATTTTAGAACTTGTTCTCTGACCCAAACACGTGGACTCACATATCGTAGCCAGTGTACTAGAAAAGAAGACGGGCCCCACGTATTGAGTGTTATTGGTGTAATATTTTTCTCATAAAATGGATGTTTCCTTGTTACACAAGGCAAATATACTACTACTGTAAACTCAAAAATAAATACTAAATCTTGTACATTATTTTTTTAAAATATTAATTATCATTAATAGGTATAATCTTTAAAATTAGTAAATGAATCAAAAATATATTTTTTATTAAATATAAAAATATTAAATTTTAAGATAAATATCAAGATTTGAATTTACATAAAATAAAATAATAAAAAAAATTAAATAAAAATGAAAAATATATATTTAAAATGAATAATAATAATAAAACATTTAAGATTAGAAAAGTTTTGGGTAAAAAGACTTTCATGTATTTAACCCTTAAATAAACGGAAAGTGTTAAATGGCTAATCCTAATTCTAGTCCCTTTATTATGCCAAATCTGAAATTAACCTCTTTACATAATTTGAAATCTCAAATTTTTATTATATTATTTATAGGTTTAAATTAGTAAATAATGATTAGATGATGCGATGAATCTTTTTACTGTTTTTCTGTTGTATAGTCTAAAATCGCATGGAAATAAAATCAATCATGTTACGCAAATAATAAATTCATATAAAAATTTCTTGTTTGAAATTTTAATATAGTTAATTTGAATCTATATTATCAGTTTGATGCTTTTGACAAAAAAAATGATTTTTCATAGAGTAAGTAATGCCAGACACTTAAAAATTGATTTAAAATTATCATTGAAAAAATAATTTTCAATCTAATCTCAATGACTCAATTTTTTAACTTTTATTGTATAAAATCATTTTTGGAGTGAAATTATATTTTTATCTTCAATTATCTAATTTGAATTTATAATACACTATCTAAAATGAACATTTTATCTTTTTAAATTACTTTTCAATTGTAATATTAAATAATTAAATTTTAAATTATATTAAAAAATACTTTTTTACAGTACTTTCTAATATCACTTTTCCAAAAAAAAAAGTCAAACTGGATTGTAAGAATAGAGGTCCGAACTATATTAAATTAGAATAGAAAAATTGAATCCCGAATAGTTTACAGAGTAAAGTGACCCAACCTGAAACTAGACCTAAAAAATCTTTCTACGTACAAAGAAAGAAATCTCTCCAAAATCAAGCTAATTAGTAATTGGGGGAATCATAATAAAATAATCCGTATTTTGCCGTTAATTAATAATTTGTATCAGTGTCACGTCACTGTTGAGAACCGAGGCAAATTCGGCCACTGAAATTGGGGCAATTGAGAACAGGCACCTTCCATTTCCTTTTTTTAAACCGCTGGGCCCACTGTCACACTACCCGTCTTCGCCGTTGATGCTATAAGTATGGCAACGAGGAAAGCCTCTTTTTCTCAAAACCCTCTTTTTAAAAATTCTAGATTCTTTACTTTTATGCTCTATTGATCTTTTGCATAATCTTCATAGTAAAGGACCTGCTTAGATTCTATACGTTCTTCACGTTTGTTTTCTTTTAAAGCTCTTTGGCACTTCGTGATCTACCGTCTACCGCTAATTTCAGGTATTCTCCTCTATATTAACGTTCTTACTTTCAATTTTCTTTACATTTTCAATGATTATTGCATTCTGTGAGTCTCTCTATGTCTCTTACTTTTCAGTTCTATTTGTTTTCCTTCTCTACGAGTCTTATGTGCATGATTTTGTGTGTTTTTCATTTTGAACTTTTGTTCCTGTTAATTTTGAAGTCCTCTCTCATGCTTTTGGTTGTGATCAAGTAATATTTGCGTTTCAGGCTCTGTTTTTTTTTCACTGAAATTTTCTACTACCTTTTACCTGTCCGTAGAATAATGGAACACTTTCAAAACGACGATCTTGAATATGTTGTCGATGACTTTTACGACTTCGATGATTTTGAACACGATGATTCCTTCTCTGGACCTGATCCTCTGCGGGACACCGCTGATTTTGACACGTGTGACTCCGACTTTGAAGACAATTTCGAATCAGTACGTTTTTTTGAAGGAAAAATCTTTCACGATTAAGCTTTGATTCTCTCGGTTTAGATTTTAGAATCTCTTTAACCTTCTGTATATACATGGGCATTCACTTGGAAACAGAACAAGCCAAAAACTGATACATCAGCTATGGAAGCAAGAAATGGGAAAGATATACAAGGAATACCTTGGGAGAGGCTTAATTTTACTAGGGATAAGTATCGTGAGTCGAGATTGAAACAGTATAAAAACTACGAGAGCCTTGGTGGTTCTAGTGAAGGAATGGAAACGGTCAGTTTCTGACTTTCTAGCCGAATCTAAAGCGCTAATTCTATTTCTGGCTTGGAATATGATTTTGAAAAAGCTTTTACTAATATTAATCGCCAACTTTGTATTCACGGCATAGATTTGTTTCCAAAAGGTTTCTTCTAAATGTTTAATAATCCATTTTGTGTTGACAGGAGTGCTTACAAGTAGAGAAGGGAAAAGACTTTTATGCCTTTCAGTTTAACACGAGGCTCGTCAAATCTACAATCGTGCACTTTCAGGTAGAGAATTTGCTGTAATTTCGATCCCATGTTATGCATCACATTGTTTTCTTTGTGTTGACGTTTCTGCTATTTGTCTTTTATGACAATTCTATTCAAGAGAGTTGCTTTCTTTTTAAGGTGCCATGGTTCAATTCTTTGAACGCATATAAATTTAATTTCATTATGCAGGCAACTTTTCTTTACTTTTTTGTTCTATTTTGTTGTGGTTTTAATGTGGAATGCGCTCTACTAGATGTGACATCATCGAGTACTTTCCCCCCTTTTTTTGTTTTTGTGTTAATTTTATATTTAGAGGTGTTTTCCTTCTTCAAATTTTCATAGGGTTTTACATCATCAAAACTTTGGTTTTGGTAGTTTACGTTGTCATCCTTTACATATTGTTTGATCTTCAATTTATTTGCATATCCCCTCATAGTTTTGCAGGTCCTGTTTTTGTTTCATAGCATTTTGTCCATGCCATTTTATTTGTCTGTTGGCAACTTCTCTTCCGTTTGTTTCAAATATTTTATGTACCCCAATTGAGGCATCAAGATGGAGGTTTGTATTCTTCAAACGAATACTTTACGTGCAGATTTTTTAAGGATACTTTAGTTTATAACATGCTTACTGTTGTCAAATTAAAAAAAAATCAAGAGCACAATTTTGCGTCTTGATAATGGATATTGATGCTTCATGGCTGTGGTACGACTTTGGGGCTTTTGAAATTTTACTAGCAATTTATGGGCGTAGAACCTTACATTTGTAGTCATTACATACATGCACTGATTTATGCACTACGAAGATGCACTAACAGTTCTTTCTTCTAAATACCTACACATGCCACTGATCCGGTATCATTAACTGTGAGGCTCATATCGATGATGAATTTTTTGAACTACTTCCTCCATGTCTAGAATTGCCATAGGATTTACATTTATCTAGACTCATCTGGACAAGGTTCTTAGACATCTAACATCATTCTTGTTAATATAGGCGTTGATTAATCCCTTTTGCGACCCTTCAATGTAGTTTTTATTTGCATTTGTTGATATTATGATCTTAGCTTAGGCATTTGGATTTAATGTTTATTTTTTGGTTTTTGTGTAATTTGTGGGTTAGGATTGTTCTACTTCCGACTGTTAATTATATTGATTTAACCTGTGGCATTCAGGATGCCAATTCTATCTTATTTCATCATACGCAGGTGAGCACGGTAAAGAGGCATTACTTTTATGGTATGACAGGAAGCATTCAAGAGGCCCCTATAATGATTAGTCTAGTTTTAGTAGAGAAATAATATGTCCCACACTATAAGGGCAAATTAACACTTCATTTGCATTTCATACTCCTGGATTAATTGTAAATTGTTAAATGCATTTATAGCTATCGTACAGTGTTACTTCATTATTGCCTTGTTGGATGATCTGCATGCATAATTCAATTTCCATTTACTTGATTTACCATTCACGGGTATCATCTGCATGAGTTTCCAATTGCATTGCTATGATTGATTTGCTGTCCCGTATTCTTAAATGTTTTCTTGATGCGCATGCCGAAGTTTCCCCTTTCTCAGATTTGCTTTTGCACGAGCCTTCTGTAATCAAGTTATATATATATATATATATTACATCTTGTGAATGGCTTTGTAATTTTTTTTATTGTTGCAGCTGCTGTGATTTCATTGTTGTTTTTGTATTTCCGTGGTTTTGTGTGTGTTTTTCCCCTTCAAAAAATATAGCATCGGAGGTCTGGAGCTGTAGGTGTTTTCTAAAAACTTCATTTAGGTTATTGAATGGATGTCGGGTTACGTTCTGATATATATTTCACACAGAGTGGGTCCTTGGAAGGCCAGCATCACTGTGTTGTAATCTGAATGCCTTACGCATCATTGCATTTAGTATATTGATTCAAGTGAATTCATTTTATATCACTTTTGCATGTCATTGTGTTGTAATATTTTCAAGTAACGACGGGGAGTCTTAAATCTTTTACCATTCTTTTGGTGTGGAGTTCTCATAATTCATGGTGTGGTGTCATACCTTCATAGCTAAAGTGGGATGATCCTGATCACAAAGCCACCCTGAATTGTGTGTGCGTCTTTCTGTCATTTAATTAGTTCTCGTGTAATTTTCTACTGCTGATATTTCTTTCTTTAATGTGAATTTTCTTTCCAATTTCTTTAATGGGTGTTTAGAGGGAAGTGAATTGGGGCTTTGGATTTTCTATGGAACAATGTAAATAGAGGATAGGTTGATTGTTTTTACGTACGGTTCACATTTTTCCACCTTTGCAGATTCAAAATATTCTAAACTTATTTGATTGCATTAATATTTTTTTAATGTAGCAAAAATCTCTCATGCATTGCCCACAACCTGTGAATTTGTTTTTCCTTTTTGTTAATGGATTATGTGTAAGAGTACGGCCATTTGTGTCTACACTAGGGGTGTAAACGAGCCGTGTCGAACTCGAATATTGTTGAACTCGACTCGAAAACTCGCGAGCTAAAAATTATGAAACTCGAACTCGAAATATATTATTGAAACGACTCGAACTCGAAAATGTTCGAACTCAAAAAAAAATTAAGAGCTTGATTCAAGCTCGAACTCAAACTCGAATTTGAACCTACAAAAATCTTATATTACATTTAAAATATATAAATAATTTTCCCTTTAACCAACCATCACCAATACATTATAATATGAATGTATGAACTATAAAAAATCTAAAAAATAAAAATACAATTACAAGAAATTTAGGATAATTAATATAAGCTTTGAAATTTTTAAAACTTCAAATGTATTGAAAGTTTACAAAATATGACAACAAAATGGGAATTCATTTAATTTACCCTTACATACAAAAGGTGGAAATAAAATCTAGACCACATGCTACTTCAACCATTTATTTAATAATATTCATTTACTTTCAAATAACTCAAAGTAGAAATGAGAAGGATCCAGATGAATTTTTTATCTACTCTTCACAATCTTGTGTCATTCTTGATAAGGCATTCTTTAATCGATCTAGGAATAAAAAAAATTAGGAAAATGCAGAAATGAGAAGTGAATACATAATTTAAAGACAAATCAATTGATATATAAATTTCCCGTGTATTGAATGGAAACTAACTTACAATTAAGAGATTCAGTTGAAGTGTTTGCACTTGAATTCATGTTTTGCAGACCAAATGTTTCAAATATATAATGGAAAAACAACTCAAATAATTGGCATATGCCCTACAACAATGTACCGGGAAAAATAATTTAATAAGAAAAGGAAAATTAATGTTCAGATTGTATGCGCATCTGAGAATGTAGAGCTTAGGAAAGGAGAGGTTTAACCAGTACACACCTTAAAAAATAATGATACATCATCCATTTGATAACCAAACCGAACAAAAATGAACCGGTGAGAAGGCAACCACAACTTGTTTGAAGAGGCTTAAAACAAATAAAATAATTTAACGATAATACGTTTTGAGGTTATCATATATGAAAAAACAATGCATAAATCATCTAGAAAGTTGAAATCAATGACTTCATACATGCATCAGGTATCAAGAACAAGGGGCAGAGAATAAATAACTGACAGTTAAATAGCCTTCTTCTTTAAACTCCTGACAAACTCTTAACAAGAGAGAATCCAACTTTTAAAGGAATATTTATTTAAAGATAAACAAACTCATAAACAAACTCACCAGAGGGGAAAGGTATTGTTCGGTCGTGGGAGGTATACGTGAGCAACGAGGAAACTATAATGGTCAGTTTTAAATGACAATTAACCACTGGGGAAAAGGAGATCACATACAAAAAAAAGAGGAATGAGCCGAGGGACAAAAACAAGTAACCGAGAAAACAGAAGCAGAAAAAAAACTGCCCCCATTGATTTTTTTTTACAGAGAATAGCAAAACATAAGGAATGAATTTGCACTGTATTTTCTTGCTATTTGAGGATTAAAAGAAACAGAGAAGCATTTTTTTTTTCATCGAACCCAAGCAATACACAGAATCAAAAGGGTATTTTTTTTAGTTTCTATTCTCCATTGCTTTCTTAATTTTCTTGTGTGTGCATATGTTTTGAATCTAAACCAAGTCAAAGGCATAAAGGAGATAGCTTAAACGTTTACCTTAGTTGTAGTTCATCCCGCTTTGCCTCCTAGCCGTTCGAGCCTCACTGTCAAAATAAGGGGTTGTGTTAGTCAAAAATAAGTTCATTATAAAATAAGAAGAGGTGGGTCTTGATAGTTTACCATGCAGTGCGTCGGAGTTTAGAGTCTAACTCGTCGACCTTGGAAGTTGGGGGTCGTTGCATGTAGTCTTAGTGTTTGGGGGTTTTAAAATAATGAAGATAGGAGAGTTTAGGGTTGGGTTAGGCTCATGTTTGGGTTAACCAACCGTCGCTAATGGTGGTCGAAGTGCTTGGTTCTGAGTTTTCACGGCGGCATTGCTAGTGACGAGGAGAGGGTTCTGTTTTCATGGTGGCTGTGGGTTTTGAGAGGGTCTCGGCTGAACCTTCAAGCTAATAACTAGGGCCATTATTCATTTTAATCTCTATTGAGATGTTCGCTTTTATTCAAGAGACTAATGTGTACAAAGCAATAAGCAATGAAAGACAACAGACAACAGAGCAAAATATATCTAAGTGTCACTATCTCATAGACAATGTCAAACCATGTTAAAATATCTAGGGAAAGAGAAATGACTGTACATACCTTCAAATCCCCAATCACAGCTTTAAGCTGCTCATTCTCATTCATTAGCTTTGCAATTTCATCAGCTTTTGCCTGAAAATGAAACAAATTGAAACTGGAAATTCAAGAACCATAAAACTTTAACAAGAAAGGATAATGATAAAACAAGATTTCATTTCTTTTGTGCCACACATATTAGACACATGTGGCATAAGATACCATGATTAAATGCATAAATAAATAGTAAAGTTCATAGCCAAATAAATCAGAGGAATATAAGATACCTTCTAAATTTAGCAGTAAAAACATCTTCAAATAAGAGGAAATGGCTGAAACCTAAAGTTTAATCACAGAAAATCCATGTTGCAGAGAATGACCTAAAGTTCAAATAGTGAAGATATGAGAGTTTAGGGTCGGGTTAGGCTCGTGTTTGGGTTAACCAGCCAGTGGAGGCCACAGGGCCTTTGGGGTCTCGGTTGATTGAAGAGTGGAAGAGTCGAGAGGTGGCTGCGTGGGTTTGGAGGAGATGAGAGGGCGGGAGAGGAGAGTTTGAGAGTTAGAAGAAGAGAACGGCACAACATTGTGTTCAATTCTTCAAATAGGATTAGGGTAAAAGTCTACCCTAAAATGTTAATTTTAAACATTTTATATTTAGCTATCAAACTCTACGCGTATTCCATGTTGGTCCCTATCATTAGTTAATTTAAATTTTAACTTATTTATCCATTGACATGCCATCTTTGAAACTTTGTATTTTAACACTGTGTATGCGTATGGTGTATTACCAATTTTGAGGTTTATAATGTTATTTGGATTACGTGAATTTAATCATCATTCTAAAGTTAGTATATTTAGCTTAAATTATTCCTCACATTTAGGTTTCTCTTAATTTAGTCCCTATTTAGGATTGGATGTCCCTTTAATTAGTTGTGTATATTTATTTTGCATGTTGATATGTTTATGTATATGTGAATGATTTATTTAGGAGCCACATAACATCATTTTGCATAATTTGTATATTACCTTAATGTGCATAACTTAACCCTTATCACATAATTGAATTTAGGATTTAGGGTTTAGTATTTAGGGTTTAGTGTTTAGGTTTTAGGGTTTATTGCAAAGACATTAATTAATCGACTTGGTATCGATTTATGAGATAAGTACAATATAGTATCTTGATATTAAATGCTCAAACCCTTGATATTTATGATGTTTGAACCCGAAACCTCAAAATATAACAACAATTTAAAAAATTAGTTATTAAAAATATTATCATTAGAAATATATTAAATATTTGTCATTAGATAAATATTTTTTTATTAATTTAAAATAAATATAAGAAAATTTATTCAAAAATAATTTTTAACCATTTTTAATTTTTCTATTGTTTGTCTGTTTTTTCTTATTTTTTATTTTATTTTTCTACGTTGTCAAGTACTTATACAGTAAAAAGTTAAAAAAGAAAGAAAAAAATCAACCAAACACATGTAATCTAACATGTGCTTAATTAAATAGACTTTTATTTTTCTTTTAATAATATACAATGTAACAATTGGACTTGGGCTGGTTAATTAAAAAAATTAAAATTTGAGGGTAGTTGTATTATAGAATTTTTAATATATTTTTAAAATTTTATAATTATCAATAATGTATTTTTAATATATTTTTAATAATGTAATTTTAAAAAATATAAAATTATAATATAACATTTTTTTCGACCTGCTCACGAGCTTTTCGAGTCGAATATCGAGTCGAGTCCATTCGATCCGAGTATTTATCGAGCCTTGATCGAGTCGATCTCGAGTAGCTCGCGATCTGTCTCGTCTAATTTACAGCCTTAGTATACACTAGTTTAAGAGTTCCGCTTCAGTTTACTTTCCATGGTACGTGGAAGAATGTTGGTATCGGAGTTTAATTTATTTTATCCTGCAGCTGAGGAATCTGTTGTGGGCTACATCAAAGCACGATGTGTACCTGATGCAAAATTATTCATTAATGCATTGGTCATCACTGCTACGCAAAAGCAAAGAAGTGCTGAATGTAGCTAAGCCAATCGTTCCCAGCGTGGTTAGTTAATATGGCCATGATTCATTCGACTTCCGCTACTAACCTTGTTCCAGGGGCTCTCATATCAAGTTCTTTATTTTGATGTTTGTAGGAACGTTGTGGGTTGCTATCTCAGCAACTCTCCAGGGTGCAGATTAGCACTATGGCAGTTAAAGATAATTTAATGGTGGCAAGTGGCTTTCAGGGGGAGCTTATTTGCAAGGTTTGTCTTTGTTGGTTCGACCGATGTTTATCGATATATTTGCGATTTGGTTCATGTTTTGCGTATTCTTCTTCCCTGTTTTGGCAGTATTTAAATCAACCTGGTGTAGCATTCTCCACAAAATTAACCACTGATGATAATGCGATCACTAATGCGGTGGATGTGTATTGCTCTTCTAGGTGAGACATTATATTCTCTGAAAATTTTAACAATTTTTTATGAGATTTTCAAAGGAAACTGAAAATTTTCTATGTATCTACAGCGGTGCAAAGAGAATTATGGCTGCAAATAATGATGCTCAAATCAGAATATTTGATGCTGAAACTTTTTCAAGCCTTAACCTTTTCTCATTCGACTGGTCTGTGAATGTATGCAAGGAGTCTTTACGTCTTCTATAGAATTCCATTTTTTTCCTTTTTCTTTTGGGTAAAGTGCAGAAATGTCTTCCGTTGTTTTGTTGACTTTCACAACTGTTAAAAGTTAATGTCCCTTGATCATAGGTGGTGTTTTGTTGAGTCTTTAACTATTAAAAATTATAAAACTGTCATCATTCATGTTTCAAAACCAAAATCTTCATTTTTCACTGAAATAGTGATGTTCGTTTGAGTTACATTAAACAGTTGATCGAGATATAATAAGAACACATATGAATAGTCATATGATCATTTTATAACTTTTCAATAATTGAGAAATTAGTAAAGTATTATCTTATAGTTAAGTGATCATACTGTAATTTTTAATAGTTGTGGGATTTAATAGAGTAACCTCTTATAGTTGAGGACCATTTGTGTATTTTACTTTTTTTCATTTGTATTTTCATCTCACTTGTTTTTTTGTCTTCTCTGGACAGAGTACCTCAGTAAGCCCAGATGGCAAGTTGGTCGCAATCCTCGGAGATAGCGCAGAGTGTCTAGTTGCCGATGCTAATTCTGGCAAAGTACGTGGCTCATGCTGTGGATCTAAATAGTGGTTGCATTATGAGTTGTTTATAACGTCTAATGTTGCTTGTGCAATGCAGGTAAGTGCCACCTTAAAGGGGCATTTGGACTACTCTTTTGCTTCGGTATGGCACCCTGATGGGAACATTGTTGCTACCGGGAATCAAGACACGACTTGTCGATTGTGGTGTTAGGAAATAAACCAAGTACAAGTAATTTTCCTATAACCAGATTAGTGAGAATGCAAAATAAAAGCGGAAAAATAATACCCGAAATTGATAATGGAGTTCAGCCAATTGTGCTTACGTCTCCGGACTGCTGCAGATCTTTTACTAAGAGAGAAAATTTACAGGTGTTTACAAAACACTTACTACTTACAAGAAAACTCTCTAGTATTGGGAGAAAGAAATGATTTTTGGGATGATTTTGAAGCTAAATGAGCTAGGGTATTTATAGTTGAAGCTTAGGACTAATCTTGTAAATACCCTAAAGTATGCAATGACTAAAAAAGTAATTAACCCATTTACAAATTTAATTAAAAAATTGGGGCACCGAACGGTGCCCCCCTTTGTTGAAAATGTGATCAATTGTGCTCCCATTTTCTGCCCACACGAAATGAAAATTTTCATTTACAGGCGGTGCCCATCGCCCACCATTATTGACTTCCAACAATCTCCCACTTGAAGACTGATTTTAATCCGTCTTCACACCTCGATCAATGCAACAGCTTTTCTAGTCTTATTAGTCTAGCATGCCAACTGAAGCTGAACACAACTTCAGTTTTTCCGTGGTCACCGTCTTTGTCAACATGTCTGCAGGATTTTGAGCTCCACTAATATTTTCAAGTTTCAAAATCCCATCTTCCAGAAGAGACCGGATAAAATGATATCTCAATTGTATGTGTTTTTTCCTGGAATGAAAAAATGGATTCTTTGCTAGATGGATAGCACTTTGACTGTCGCAATACAAGACATTGTTTTCTTGTTTCTTGCCTAACTCTTCCAAGAAACTTTGGAGCCAAACCATCTCCTTGCTGGCTTTCGTAACAGCGACATATTCTGCTTCAGTTGTGGAGAGAGCAACTATCTTCTGTAGTTGAGAAACCCAACTCACTGCAGTACCTCCTAGAGTATAGACATACCCTGTAGTGCTCTTTCTGATGTCAACATTTTCGGCTAAGTCAGCATCTACATAGCCTGTCAGTATCGTATCTCCACCTTTGAAACAAAGTGCTTTGTTTGTAGTACCCCGCAGATATCTGAGGATCCATTTGACAGCTTCCCAGTGTACCTTGCCTGGATTATTCATGTACCTGCTAACAGCTCCCACTGCATGAGAAATATCTGGTCTGGTACAAACCATGGCATACATCAGACTTCCAATTACTGAGGCATACGACACCTTCACCATGTGTGCACGTTCTTCCTCCGTCTTTGGTGATTGGTCTTTGGAGAGTCTGAAATGAACACCTAAAGGTGTACTTACTGGTTTAGCATCTTGCATGTTGAACCTGGAGAGTACTTTGTTGATGTACTCAGCCTGTGATAACATCAAAGTCCCCGACTTTGTGTCTCTCTTGATCCTCATCCCAAGAATCTGCTTTGCAGCTCCCAGATCCTTCATAGCAAACTGCTTCGACAATTTTTGCTTCAAGTGTATAATCTCTTGCATGTTTGATCCTGCAACGAGCATGTCATAAACGTACAATAATAAAATAATGAAGCTATTGTCGAACCTCTTGATGTAGCAACAATGATCTGCTTGGCATCTGGTAAAACCATTGCTACTCATGAAACTATCGAACTTTCTGTACCACTGTCTAGGAGCTTGTTTTAAACCATACAAGCTCTTCTTCAACCTGCATACCAGGTTTTTCTTGCCTGCCTCTATGAAGCCTTCTGGCTGCCTCATATAGATTTCTTCCTCCAAATCACCATGAAGGAAAGCTGTCTTTACATCTAACTGCTCAAGATGTAAATTCTCTGCAGCTATAATTTTCAACACCAGTCTGATTGTAGAAAGTTTTACGACTGGAGAGAAAATTTCATTGTAGTCAATACCTTCGTTTTGCTGAAAGCCTTTGACAACCAATCTTGCTTTGTAGCGTTTTCTCCCATCGTGCTCTTCTTTGATCCTGTAAATCCACTTGTTATGGAGCGCTTTCTTTTCTGGTGGTAATTCAGCTAATTCCCACGTCTGATTTGACATAAGCGAGTCCATCTCATCTTTCATGGAAGACTCCCACTTGACTGAATCATCCACCTGCATCGCTTCATCATAGCACTCTGGTTCACCATTGTCAGTCAGCAACAAGTAGTACAAAGAAGGCGAATACCGTTGGGTTGGTTTAGGAATTCTGGAGGAGCGTCTCAGTTCTTGTGTGCCTGGTTCTTCCTCTTGAACTGCTTCAGGACTGATCTGAACATCATTTCCAGAAATCTCCTCGAACTCAGCAAATTCCTTTGTTTCAGCTTCGGTATTACTTGATTCTGCGGTTGACCTGTCTTTGTACATCACATTTTCATTGAAAATGACGTCTCTGCTTCTGATGATCTTTCGATTTTCGTAGTCCCAAAACCGGTAACCGAACTCATCACCACCGTAACCAACAAAGACGCATTTGTTGGACTTAGCATCAAGTTTACTTCTTTCAGCAGAGTTTATGTGTACATAAGAAATACAACCAAACACTCTTAAGTGTGAAAGGTTTATTTCTTTCTTGCTCCAAGCTTCCTCTGGTATTCTGCCATCCAAAGGAACTGAGGGCCCACGGTTGATCAGGTAAGCTATAGTGTTGATAGCTTCAGCCCATAGAAATTTGGGCAATCCGGCATGTATCCTCATGCTTCTGGAACGTTCATTCAGAGTTATGTTCATGCGCTCTGCTACGCCATTCTGTTGCGGTGTTATGGGAACTGTTTTCTCCATCTTGATCCCATTGTTTGCGCAGAAATCTCTGAATCTACTATCTCTTTACTCTCCTCCATTGTCAGACCTCAACCGCTTGACTTTTAAACCAGTCTCATTTTCCACCATGGCCTTCCATTTTCTGAAGGTATCGAAGACTTCTGATTTCTTCTTCAGAAAATAAACCCACACCTTCCTTGTTGAATCATCGATGAAGGTGACATAATTTAGTGAGCCTGCAAGAGATGGAACTGGGGATGGTCCCCATATATCAGTATGAACCAATTCTAACCTTTCTGCCTTGGGTGTCTTGCCAATCTTTGCAAAACTGACTTTCTTTTGTTTGCCAAAGATGCAATCTCGCATAGTCCGATATCTACATTCTTTAGATCAGACAGCTTCCCTTTTGACAGAAGTATCTTCATTCCTTTCTCGCTCATATGGCCAAGCCTTTGGTGCCATAGGTTTGATTTTCCATCAACATCTGCTATTGCAATGATATTCTCTAAATTTGAGGTTACATAGAGAGTACCAGTCTTCTTACCACGAGCAATGACGAGTGCTCCTTTGGTAATCTTCCATTCACAGCCTGAAAAGGTTGTACTGTATCCTTCTCCATCAAGCTGTCCTACAGAAATCAAATTTCTTTTGAGATAAGGAATATGTCTCACTCCTGTCAGCTTCTAGGTGGTCTGGTTTGGCAGCTTTAGTCGGATGTCTCCTTTTCCGACGATCTTCAAGGTTTCATCATCAGCAAGATGAACCTTCCCAAAATCACCACTGACATAGTTCTCCATGATTTCTTGGCATGGCGTGGAGTGGAAAGATGCCCCTGAATCCAAAATCCATGATTCAATCGGACTGTTGACGCTTAAAATCATGGAATCACCTGTCTCCTCAGTCATGTTGGCAGATTCCTGTGCGCCGGTATTTTTCTTCGGTGCTCGGCAATCTCTTTTGAAGTGGCCCTTCTTGCCGCAATTATAACAGATAAAATCTTTATTTACTGTTCTTGATTTTCCCCTTCTGGATTTCGATCTACCACGATTTGAATTTATTTCTGAAGTTCTCCCTCTAGACTCTGTGTGCAAGGCTGAGGAGGTTGATGCTTCACCCGATTCTCTCCGTCGAATTTCTTCGCTCAGTACCAGATCCCGAACATCGTTGAATTTTAATTTGTTGTTTCCTGACGAACTGCTGACTGCTGTAACAGTAGCATTCCAATTGTCTGGTAAAGATGATAAGAGAATTAAAGCTCGAACTTCATCATCAAATTCAATTTCCACTGAACTCAACTGGGTTGTGATTGTGTTGAGTTCATTTAGGTGTTGTGCCATCGATGCCCCTTCCGTCATCTGCAAATTGAATAATCGCCTCATCAAATGAACTTTGTTTGAGGCCGATGGCTTCTCATACATACTGGAGAGAGTCGTCATAAGACCCGCCGTGGTCTTTTCCTTTGCTATATTGAAAGCAACATTGCGGGATAACGTCAGTCGGATAACTCCGAGGGCTTGTCTGTCGAGAAGAGCTCAGTCTTCATTCTTCATGCCCTCTGGTTGTTTTCCTGAGAGGGGTTGATATAGATTTTTCTGGTATAGAAAATCTTCAATTTGCATCTTCCAAAATCCAAAGTCCGCACCATCGAACTTTTCAATTTTCACCTTCCCTTCGTCTGTAGCCATCGCTCCCACTCGAATCTGGCTTCGTTTGGATCGTTTCTGACAATTTTTGCGAACCGTCGTGATTAGAACACCTCCGTCGATAAACTCGTATCGCCGACCGAATTTCACTATTCACGAAATTCACTATTCATGTGAATAGTAACCCGAATAGTAACCTCGCAAAAAATTGACAAAATTCACAACCCAAAAGATCTGATTACCAGTTGTTAGGAAATAAACCAAGTACAAGTAATTTCCCTATAACCAGATTAGTGAGAATGCAAAATAAAAGCGGAAAAATAATACCCGAAATTGATAACGGAGTTCAGCCAATTGTGCTTACGTCTCCGGACTGCTGCAGATCTTTTACTAAGAGAGAAAATTTATAGGTGTTTACAAAACACTCACTACTTACAAGAAAACTCTGTAGTATTGGGTGAAAGAAATGATTTTTGGGATGATTTTGAAGCTAAATGAGGTAGGGTATTTATAGTTGAAGCTTAGGACTAATCTTGTAAATATCCTAAAGTATACAATGGCTAAAAAAGTAATTAACCCATTTACAAATTTAATTAAAAAATTGGGGCACCGAATGGTGCCCCTTTGTTGAAAATGTGATCAATTGTGCTCTCATTTTCTGCCCACACAAAATGAAAATTTTCATTTCCAGGCGGTGCCCACCGCCCACCATTAGTGACTTCCAACATGTGGGACATAAGAAACCCATCCAAGTCCCTTGCTGTATTAAAGGGAAGAATGGGAGCAATCAGAGCTCTCAAGTTCACATCGGATGGTCGATTTCTCGCCATGGCTGAGCCAGCAGACTTCGTTCATGTGTTTGTCGCGGAGTCTGGTTACATCAAGTGCCAAGAAATTGATTTCTTTGGTGAGATTGCTGGAATATCATTCAGTCCAGATACCGAATCTCTCTTTGTTGGCGTTGGGGATCGAACGTACGGCAGCTTGTTAGAGTTCAACCACAGGCGACATAACAGATATCTAGATTCTATATTGTAAGAGAATAAAATGAGCTAATGTCTGTGTGAGACGACTATTGTGAATATCTAGAGCGGAATTTTGGGTAGTTTACAAAATTGCGTGGATGATTGGGGGTTTGTTTTATTTATATTCCCTTTTCGGGCGAGAAGAACAGAGTTAGTTTTAAACTGGCGCAAGGCAGAGATGATGCAAAATTTGGCAGTCGTGTGTGAACAAATGCTTTGTATATCAGGCCGGCGTATGCTCCGTTTGGTGTATACAGTTTGTTGATCATATGTTTTATGTGCTTTGTTGTTTATTATGACTGGAAAAATCAAATTGGAAATTGAATTAGTTACATTTTATCTTGCTGTGTGCTTATTACTGTATTTGGGATTGCTTTTTCTTCCGAAGAGATTGTAGACAAACGTGTACACTTGATAAAAGACTTATTTGATTTATTAATCGAATTTTAAAATCTATGTAACTTCTGGAATTTAGTTGAATAAATTTGAAGTTGAATTAGAAAATTCTTTTCGATAATATGATTATTAGATTTTGAATAAATAAATTACAATTTCAAAAACTCTTTAAAAGAAGCCGTAAAAGATAAAATTATGATTTGATCATTCATGTGATATTGGCTTTATTGTTCGAAAAGAATAAAAAAAACTAAGAATTTAATATTTTTATGTATATATCATATAAAATCAAAATTTTAATATTTTTATAATTTTAATTAGGAAGGATAAATTTGTATATTAACAATTCATTGAAGTTTAAGAATATTTAGTAGTCTTTATTCAATATTTACGGTTTTGAATTGACTTGGTCATTTTTAATTGTATTGATTATAAATAATATCTTCTATTCAAAAAGGTTTTGAGGATGGCAAAGAAAAACGATACGAAATGGACAAAAATAATTGTGCAATCGTTGTCGGCAATTGCACAGTAATCCATTATTCCAAGTTTATGAATTATCAACTGGGGGTATATGTTACGGTAAAGGTGTAATATCTATTTAAAGATAAATATCTAATTTTTTATAATTTGAGATAAATATAAGGTAATATCTATTTAAAGATAGCTCTCAACTATTTGATATTAAACGCTTATACTCTTAATGTCGACACCGTTTTTCGCCCGGACGGGAAAAGACCGATACCGACTCGGAGTGTTTTCTCTTTGAAAAGTTTTTTTGAAATGTGAGGAGTCACCACCAATTATTTAATGTGCGATTGGAACACCGTAAAAACCGGGTGATTTTAATATAAAATTTTATTTTTATCAAAATACTGAGTTTTAGGGTTTGCGAAAATCCAAAAAATTAGTTCGGGAGTCGGTTACGCGTGGGGAAGGATTATCACCCTCACAAGCGCCCAAAAATTGGTACCTAGTTGATTACCCTATATTTAAAATCGAAAATTTGGATTTCGATCTTTATTTAATTTGAAAATCATTACGAATACAAAGTTGAAAAATGTATTCGTTTATTGAGACCGATAGCATTTGCACCAAAGCGTAAATGTGAGAGATCAGCTATTGTGTTTAATAATCGAATATTGTCTCATTTTTAGAAATCATGATGTGGTCTTTGAAAAGGATGTCGACCTATTTCAGGAATCACCAGTAGTCACCCCTGAGCATACTTGCGGGAGATGCACTATTAATTCCATAACAAGTGAACATTGTCTTAGATTTAAAAATAAAACGCAATTAAACAAATTTTTATTTAAATCAATTACGCTAAGGCAAATTAAAGGCTTTTTCTAACTTAAGGTGTCAAATTATGAAAATTAAGGAACCTAAAGGGCTAAACCTAAATGTTGGCTCTAATATTTACCCTATTTGATTTTAATAAATTATCGAATCAAATAATCGAAATGGTTCCTCGAGCATTTAGGCGAGGGCCAACTCGTCTTATTCCCTAAATTTAAAGACTAATTTGAAATCTAACCTAGAGTGGAAGCTCTATTTAACCTATTTAATTATGTAAATATTAAAAGTCTAATCGAAGTTCGAGGACTAAATATCAAAATCTAAAATTTCGAGTTCTAAAAGAATTAAAAGCTTAAGTACCTAAATTAATAATTTCTAAAGTTGAGGACTAAATCTAAACTAAAACCTAATTATTATCTAAATTATTAAACTAAAGTATTTTTTAGAAAGTATTAATTATTGATAAATTTTAAAAGTCGAGCAATCGATTTGAGTAATCGGGCATCTATTGCGAAAACTCGACTCGAATTGCTCCCTAATTAAAACTAATGTGAAATCCTAATTTCTAAGCTTGTTTCGAATATTAATCTAAATTAAAACTAAATCTAAGAAATAAAGCTACGAAATACCCAAAACAATTAATAAACATTGCTAAAATAAATAAAATAACTATAATAAAATAAAAAATATTAAAAACAAACTAGAATAAGAAAATAAAATAAACACCAGTACAAGGACCTAATTGCATAAATTTAAAATTACTAAACTAAAATTAAACATACAAATGGGATAAATTAAAATAAATCAATATTTAAAGCATAATTCGAAATAAAATAAAAACAAATAGACTAGTGACTAAAATACAAAACACACGTAATTTACAAGGACCTAAGAGCAATTTTTCATTTTTATTTAAGCCTAAAAAATAACCTGTTAAATAAAAAGGTAAAACTACATAACCAATCCACATACATTTAAAAAAATAATTAGTCACTACACATGACTAAAATGCAAAAACATGCATAACTTATAGGGACCTAAAGGAAATTAACCCTATAAAACCAAAACAGGCATAAAAGGGATAAATAAAAAACAGTCCCTACAGGACTAAAATACAAAAATGCGCTAAAATAACAGGGACCATAACATGAATAAACCATAAATTTAAAGTATGCATAACGAAAAGGTTAAATAATAGTTTTGTCCCCTTAGGGACCAAAATGCAAAAACATGAAAAATGTTTAGGGGGTAAATGCAATTATACCGGAAATGTTTTCTATAAATACCAAGTTTTGGGTTTTTTTTTCATTTGAACCGAAAAATAGAAATTTTTTTAGAGTTATCTCTTCTCCCCCTCAGCTGACCCACTCCTGGCTACCTTCCCCGCCCCTGGCCGTCGCACATGGTGGTCGAAAATCCCATAATGACCCAAAACGCTCCCCAAGCATAGATCTACTAGCCTAGAACTTTACTTAGGGCTAGAACCATCGAAAAAGGCCTAAAAACACCCTAAATCGCCTCGACTCTTCGATTTCTTCTCACTCCAACCACCACGACTTGGGTTCATCCCCCACCAGGTAAACACTCACTCTTATCTCTCTTTCTTTCTCTATTTACTGTAAACAGTAGATAACTATATTTTTTTTTCTGGTTTTTGTTCTTTATTCAAAAGAAAAATAAAAATAAACCTCAAAATTTAATCTTTGTATTGTTTCTAAAAACGGGGGCAAAGAGAGCTCCCTCTTTTACATTTGTTTCGGGATTTATAACTGAAAAATACATAGGCCTAGAATAATAAAAAAATTTCTAGATCTACTGTTGAACTCTGTGTATGATGTGTTTATATTTTAATGCCATAGATTTTTGGGGTTTATTGGATTTGGCATTGATTTTCCTCTTTTTTTATGTCTCTGAGATGATGTTTGACACAGTGAAAGTGGCAAGCCTCTTGGATGACGGCGGTGACTGAATGAATGATATATTAGGGTTAGGGTTAGGTTAAGTTTTGAATCGGGTTTGGGCCTGTAATTGGGTGAAAGGTTTGGGTACGGGTTTGGGTTTTATTTGGGTTTTAGTTTAGGGTATGTTTTAGGTTTTGGGGTTTTGGTTTGGTTTAGGCCCATAGAGAAAAATGGTGCTTACAACTGCCCCTCTTTGTTCATTACTGTGGAATAGGAATGAAGCAAAGATATAAAGCACCATTTTTCGGCTTAAACATTATTCTTCAAACTGCGAGTTCTTCTCGTTATGAACTCTTAGATGGGGATGTCGATCCATCTTCTTTTGTGATGAAATTGAACCCAGGTTGAACAAGTTCATCTCTTTATGAACTTCTTCTCCCATGTTGGATGAGTTCTTTTCATTATGAACTCTCCTCTAGAAATGTTGATCTACCTCCTTCTGTGATGGAATTGAACTAAGATTGAACAAGTTCTTTTCATTTTGAACTTCTTGTCCCTCGTTGGATGAGTTCTTCTCATTATGAACTCCCCACTAGAAATGTTGAGCCAAGGTTGAACAAATTCTTCTCATTATGAACTTCTTCTTCCTCATTGGATGAGTTCTTCTCATTATGAACTCTCTAATGTTTATCTAAGGTTGAACAAATTCTTCTCATTATGAACTTCTTCTTCCTCATTGGATGAGTTATTCTCATTATGAACTCTCCAATTTTGAGCCAAGGTTGAACAAGTTCTTCTCATTATAAACTTCTTCTCCCTCATCGGATGAGTTATTTTCATTATGAACTCTCCACTGGAAATGTTGAGCCAAGGTTGAACAAATTCTTCTCATTATGAATTTCTTCTCCCTCGTTGGATGAGTTCTTCTCATTATGAACTTTCCTCTGGAAATGTTGAGTGGTTTATCTTCTCTTTGAAGATTTAAACCTGTAAAAAATTATCATATGTCAGTGATTTGATGTTTAAAGTACCCGATGGTATTGATTCAAAGGTCTTCGAATTTTGTTGAGATCCACTTCTTTCAAAATGAAGACGTGAATTGATTATTTTCTAAAATCTTGTTCTTCAACATGAAATTGTGAAATCTTTGCTAACTTTGGAATTCTTCCAAGTGATGATTTTTCTGTGGAATAGGCTCCTCTGTTCTTGAGACTCTGCCACTCCAAAATTTATTTTTTCTTTTTTCTTTTTAGATTTGGATTGTGATTTTCTCTTCTCGAGGTCAAAAATCCTTTTCTTTCTTTGGGAGATCTGTAAAGGATCATGTATTTATTTATGAAGATATGAATGCAATTAAACGTGTCTAAACGTAATGCATTTCCTGTGCAAAAAATGTTTTCATTGATGCAGAAATGTT